TCTTCTGGAGGCTGTCCAGGCTGGACAGGAGGGACCTTGTTGCCTCCCAACGAGAAGGGAGGAACAAGATGCCTGATCTGGACGTAGTGTTCCAGGCGCTGCTTGGCTGCCCTGTAGGTTTGTGTTCTGTTGCTGTCTGATCGTTAAGCCTCATGCCTGAGGATTGCTTTGCACGAGGCTGGCACGCATCTCCAAGCCCCACGTGTGCACAGCGGCCCTACAGCCTCTATGGGAGCCGAAAGCCCCCAGCACTGGTGGCCCTGCAGCAGGGGCAGTGTTGCTGTGGTCACCCTGGGGTGCTCAGTGAAGGCTGGAAGCCTCTCCCTGCTGCCTTATTCCCAGACACGGGGCTGACAGAGGGACATTCTCCACTCCTACCATCCTCACCGCCACCCTCAGTCCAGGCAGGGAGATACAAGCATTATCTTGTGGCTCTGCCATTCCCCAAACAAACAGGGCAATGTGCCCCCCTGGGCGGGCACCTTGGACCCCACCAAATGGCGACACTTGTGTGGGTGCTGCTGTTTCTGCCATCTTAGTGCATGAATGGACAAGCAGGGCATTGACGGCAGCGCGGACGCACACAAACGCTCCACTGTGTCCCCTCTCACACCTTCCCCCCCTCCTCCTCTGCCCCGATGCCCAAAAGACAATGGCTCTATCCAAGCCGATGTTCACAGCTGGCAAGGATGGAGGAGAGGCCGAGACCAGGATGGGCAGCCCCAGGGTTCTGGGGGAGCAGTGCCTTGGGAAGGAAGGGACGAGGGCAGACAGGAGCTGGGGACATGTGGGTCGGGCTGGGAGAGGGAGAGAGGAGAAAGTGGATGGGCCAGAAGGAGAAAAGAGGGCTTGGGAGGAGGATGGAGGTGTGGAGATGCTGCTGACTTTTGGTGTTGGGCTGGAGGATGGCAGTGGTTTGGTTGCAGCGTGTTGTGAATGGCACTGACATGGAGTTTTGGTGTTGGTTGAGGCCAGTCGTTGCTCCAAGGACCTTCTGGCAACTGGGAACCCTGCAGCTCATCCTACAGTACCAGGATCTGGTGTCTTGGTTAAACCCCACCTCTTCTGTACCAGAAGAGCTGCTCCGTGGCTTCAAGAGGGTAGGTGATGTCCTTGAAAGTGAGATGGCCATAACTCTGCATTGACTGCAACAGTCCTGCCTTCATGGTGGTGAGGGGCACGTGCTGTGTGTGTGTGCAGAAAGGTGTCTTAATGCACCTGAAACCACCTGGTGAGAGCATGCAGGAGGGAGTAACCCCATGTACGTTAGCTCCATCAGTGTTGGATCCTGAAGTTATAGAGCTGCTGAGTTGGCACCATTGGTTTCTCCCTTTGGCAACCCATGCAGACCCTGGGGGGCTGAAGAGGATCAAAAGAGGGGCTAAACCCCACAGCTCCAGGAGGGGCTCCTCTGTGCCTCAGGGCTTTGCTCTGGGGTGGTCCCAAAAGTGCTCCAGGGGAGACGGGAGAGAGGTCTGTCTTGGCATCCCACTCAGGTTACAAGAGCCACTTCTGCCAGGAGGGACTGGTTATCGTTACAGTCAGGTAATAAAGAGCATTAATTGAGGAGGAATGCTGGGCTGGGATCCGAGGGGAGGCGGGGGCTGCAGGGTCGCATTCCCCCCTGCCAGAGGGGATGTGTTCCTCCTTTGTGCCCACAGGGTTGGGACTGTGGAGCAAAGGGGAGATCATCCCACTGTGCCTTTAGCATCCTGCTGTCCCCAGGGCTCTGAGCAGCAATAGGACTGCTGTGTTCTCTCACCCTCGCTGCATCCCATCCGGAGGCATAGGAGGCTGCTGTTCCCAGCTGGGGAGAAACGATCCCAAACCTGCAGCTCCTGAGCTTAGATGGTGTTTGGTTAGCATGCTGTGGCCCAGATTCCTTGTGCTCGCAGCCCAGCCAGCAGCCAATCCTCTGGGGCAGAAGAATAAACACAGGAGGAAGCTGAAAGGGATGCAGAGCCTGTGGGGCCCTGGGAATGTGCCATTGCGGCAATGGGCTGCCAGTTGTGCAACCTGTGGGTGCCATCTCGCCGCATGGCTCCTGGAGGCTTCTACCACATCCTCCCCTGCTTGGCGGTGGCTTTGTCAGCAGGGTGCTGAGGAGGAACAGCCAGGCTTCCAGCACCATCACAGCACATCTTGTCCACAGCCCTCGGATTGGGTACCAGGTAGGGCCAAGATGGCAGAGGGATGCCACCATCCATGCTACCATGAGGCAGATACTCATTGTGGCTCTTTATTCATCTCCACTGCAGTCCTGCTTTTGGAGCAGAATGCTTCATTTGTCATTCGAACCAGCACCCCCTAAAATGGGTCTCCGAAACCAAGCACAAAAATTCAGCCCCTGGTGCCTTGGTATGGGGATGCACCATGCATCCATGCGTGGCTTGGCACAGCCTCATCTTTTCTTCCTCCCCACTGGTGTTCCCCAGCCTGTGGAGATGGTTGACCTCATCATCTCCAGGTTCCCACATCTGGTTCTCGTTAGTGGATCCCAGGATGAAGTTCCTCCTCTCTCTCCCTTCCTCCCACCCCCAGGAGACCCAGGCAGGATTATAGGTGATTAGAAGACAGGCAACAGAGCAAGAATTGGGGGGGAGGGACTGTTATAAATAGAAATACCATAAACTTATCAGCCTATCACTCGAGGTAAATTCTGGGTTTAATCTCTTAGACCTGTAAATATGATGACTTGCAGGGGCCAGACGCCTTTAACTCTTTCAGTGCCCGTCTCTGATGGGAAATGGGCTGCGGTGGAGCACCTGGAAAGGGGACGGGGATTGATATCACCAGGAGAGCTGTGCCAGCAGCCCCGCGCCGTCGGAGCAAGGCAGCAAGTAGCTCTGCTTGGATGGCGGTCGTGTTTGGAGGTTTGGGGAAGGCAGAGAAAACAAGTCCAAACATTGGGATTCCTGACATTCTCGCACATATGGGGCCTCTGCCCTGCTCGCGAGGAGGGTGCTGTGGGTTTTGCATCTGCTTCCCGTGGCAGAGTTTGCCTTCAGGGCCTCCTTGGTGCTGTTGTGAGGAGGGGGGCTAAGGATAAGGCAGGGCAAAGGGTGCTGGCAGGTTTGGGAGCTCCTTTGCGGCAGCACGAGCTGAAGGAGGGGTGAAATGGAAGGTTGTTTGACACAAGGAGCCCCTGCAGGGAGGTCAGCGTGCTGCTTGGGGCTGGGGGGACGTCAGAGAGGGGAGACAGGTGACAAAAGCTCTGGTGCCGTGCGGGTGTTGAGCTGCTTCCTGCTCCCTCCTAATCCCACGTCGGAAGAGGAGGGACTGTTATTCGTGTCGTGAGGAGCTCGTGACTCAGTGGAGAAGCATTAACTTTTAATTAATCACCTAAGCTGGCTTTCAGTAAGAGCCTGCCATGCATGGGAGCCATGGGCGGTGGGACATTCCCTGTCCCTATGTCCTCAAGCTGAGGACAGCCTTACATTTGCAGTGGGCAGCCCCTTCCCATTGCACCTGCGCAGCTGGACCCAGCCTTGCCATTATTGAGGCAGCACAGCTGACGCAGCTCCTGCATCACGTTTCTTATCACACCCCATGCCTCAGTCTGAGCGCTTCCAAAGGTGACTTTTAAGAGAAGGCAGCAGAAAAAAAGGAGAGCCCAGCACTGCTGCTGTCTCTGGAGGGCTTCCTATCCTTTCTGGGTAGGTCCTGGGCTCCCTTTCCACTGTGGAGAAGCTGCTGGGGTTTGGAGATGGAAGGGAAAACTACTGGGGTCAGGTATCTTGAAGCTTTTTCCTGGACACAGCTTGGGGAAAATTGGTCAAGTGCCTTTTTGGTTTCTTGGAATCGTAGAATCATTAAGATTGGGAAAAGTTCAAAGCCCAACTCCAACCTACCTCACCATGCCCATTAACAAGCCAACCTCACCATGCCCACTGCCCACATCCCTCGGTGCCACGTCTCCACGTTCATTGAACACCATTGAGACAGTGACTCCACCACCTCCCCAGGCATCCTGTGCCCATGCAGTACCACTCTTTTGAAAACATAAGTCTCCAGCCCAAGACTTGGCATAAAGACACGTCTTCCAATAGCTTTTGTGGCCAGACGTTTTGTAGTTCGGTTTTGTTGGCCAATGGTGAGGTGATGGAGAGAGTGCAGAAGAGGTGCCTTGAGAGGGTTGGGAGCAGGGTGAAGGATCATTGGGGGTGGGTGGGGGACACAGGCACCCACGGTGAGCTCTCCCAGCCAACCATAGCTTGCAGCAATGGTTGCAACCACAGAGTTTACAGGGGACAGTGTCACCTCCTGCTTCCCACAGTGCCCCAAGGGCCGGATGTCCTCCTGTGAACAGATCCCCAGGCTCATTCCCCATCATTACCAAGGGAGAGATTCCCCTGTCCATGCACATACCCTGTCCACTTGGCAGAATTCCTGGCTGGATTTATTTCTGCCAATTTGCTTGCCTTACTATGAAAGGGATTTGCAGAGGGGAGTGCTGCAATTGGCCGGGTGTGGGCCAGAACCCCCCATATGGGGTTTTTCACGGTTCACTGGTTGACCTTTCCCCAGCACACAGCCTGTGGGGGATGAGGGCTGGCCCATGAGCTTTGGGCCTCTTGGGAAGGGCCCTCTTCCTTATCAGGGCCAAGTCTCCTCTTCCACTTTCTTGGCAGTGTCTTTGGCACCGAGGGCTGGCAGCAACCCCAGAGAGCTGCGGACTCCCACTTGAGAGAGACAGATAAAGAAAGCACTTTCTGTCAACAAAACCCAGCCCAGCTTCCCCAGGGCAGGAGAGGGGAGGAGGAGGCCTCAGGAGAAGGCAGAGGGAAACCCGCTGCTCGCCTGGCCTCGGCGCTGTCTGGTTTTGCACTGGGACACAGATGGCTATGGACCAATGGTCCTTCTCAAACTGCAAGAATCTGCTGATCTTCTCATATTGGTTTTGACTCTGCAAAGGTCTTTGGTGGTGGTTCTGCAGTGCAACGCCTTTGCCTTTCGTGTCCTTCTCACAGCTCTTGCTTCCATCTCCTCTATTCTCACAGGCCATGACATTAATGGAGCTCTGGAGCCATCTAACATTGACACCAGCATCCTGGAGGAGTACATCAGCAAGGAGGACTCACCAGATATGTAAGTGGTTCCCTTGTTCCACAGCAGGAACTGTACTTGCTGTTGTTTTCTGTGGAGAAGCTCTGCCATGCGAGGAATCGTGAAATCACTGTGCCCTGTGTGTTCCACTGTGTCCCTCCTAGAGTCCTCCCCTATAGGAGGTTGGTTTCCTGGGCACTTGTGGCCTTTACATCCCCACAGGTGGATTTTTCACCCTTTGGGATTGCACCATTCCCACTGATCCAAGTGACCAACCTATGCACTCCTGCTGGTGCCACCACAATGCTGGCTGTTTCACTCCTCCTCTGGGTGTCCCAGAGCACCATCCATGTTGCTGAAGGGCTGGGTAGCGGGTGGAAAGTGCCACCTACCTGTCTTGCAGCTGAGGTTATCACCTTCTCTCTCTCAGCTGTTTCCCTGACATCTCTGCTTCATCTGGCTGTGCACACCCCCAGCCCTCCAGCTCAGCCACCATCAGCGCGCCTCTTCCCAGTTCCATCGGCAGTGCTGGGCATGTGAACAACCCTGCTTCCAGTGGTTCCCTCCACCTTCCTCCCCCGGGCAGCCAGATCCCGATCCATCACGGTCCTCTCCTGGCCAACCCTTGCGGACCCAGCTATGGTGCTCAACTCAACTGCAATAACAACAATGGCATGGCGGTGCCCAAGGGCTACCTCGGTGGCCACTGCCTAAACAGCATGGTCCCTCCAATCAAATCGGAGCCCACGGCCTCCTACGCACCTGGGTAAGTGGGGCTGGGGTGGCAGGACAAGGGCACGAGGTGAGACCAGCAATCCTCCAGGCTGGTGGGGCCTGGAGGGTAGAGGTGGCTTGTCCCGTAGTGCCTTAACCACCGGCCGTGTCAGCCACTGTTAAGCCCTGGCTTCACAGGGAGATGCTTTGTCACGAGTTTTCTGAAAAGTTGTTCAGTTTTGGTCTTGTCTGTGTGTGCTGAATTGGAGAGGATCGGTGACATCCCATGCGCATACAGGGAGACACACGACAGATGCACATCTCCAAGTGCGTGATGGGACGGAGTATCGTCCTTTTCAAGAAGGAAGAGATGCAGAATAAGTCTGAATAAGGCTAAACTTACTTTCCAGGATGTTCCCTTGGCAATCCCAGGGGAAGATGTTAGCTAAGTTGGGCAAAAAACCTCATTTCTCTTGGCCTGACGCTTTAGATACTGAAGAGAAGAAGGATATGATGTCTGGGCTGGAGTTATATCCCTTCGTAACTGGCTCTGGATGCAGCCCCAATGAAGGGGAAGATGATAATGGAGTCTTAGTATTGCTGATGGACTCAACTGGACAACTGGGAGGAGAAATGATGAGGGAAACGGCGCTGGTGGGCTGGCAGGGCACAGCAACGTGGCAGCCTTGACAGGGAGCACCACACAGAGAGCGCAGCCGAGCTGTGTGCCTTCTCCAGCAGATGATGGATGTAAGGGAGGTGGAGGCCAGGAGGACCCCAGAACTGCTGCTCATCTCTACAAAGCCCTCTCTGGCTTTTCTCCCTCTGCTTTCTGCCCTCTAGTGTCGCCAGCAAGTACGGCGTGGTGCTTCCCATGCTCACAGTCCACCAGCTAGCAGGAGGAATAATTGGATCTGGAATGTAGCTCCACTGGGATGACTTTGGCTTGGATGAACTGGAAAAGATCTTCCAGAATGTGACAACCTAAATAAAATCTGCCCTTATTTTATTCCTAGACTAGGAAGTTGCAGTGGAGCCATGTGTCTTAGGGGAAGCCATGCCCAAAAGCAGGGTAGGATGCTCTTATGTGGCATCCCTTTCTTCTGCGTGTCTCTGGTGTTCTCAAGGATGTGAGAAGTCATGGGTGGGATCATAGCTCTCCTCCATTCATAATCCAGGTCTGATTACCTGTCTGCTGGCTTCATCATCTTGACTTGCAGGAGGACAACAAATCCATCAAGGAGGCATCAGGAGCTGCTGTAGCTGAGGGAAGAGCTCGTGTCATCATTTGGGGCTGTCATGGTGGTGATCGAGGCGTTTGCCTGGGAATACGTGCTGCTTTGTCTGTGGTGGATCCTTGGCCTGGGATGTGGCTTCATGGCTGGACTCCACTGGGACCTGGTAGTCACTGCATATAGTGGAAGCAGGGTTCATAACAAGTGCTTGCTGCTGGAGATGGAGGCCTTGTTTGGGTGAAATGAACTAGGTCAGCTTTGCTCGCAGCATTTCTTCAGCATCCCAGAAGGACTCATTCCATGGCAGAAGCAGTCTCAGTGTCCAACACCCACAAATCCTATCCGTGGGCTGGGTGTGCCTGCATGACCTCCCTGCGTAGCACCCATCTTTCTGCTCCAGTTGTCCCTGAATTGTCCCTGGACATTTTGTTATAGCAGGAGCAGGCTTTGCAGAGTGTTGTGCTGCTGGAACATTCTGGGGATTGCCAAGGCAGTGGATACAAGCAAGCAGACAAGATACCTCCCTGGATATCCCACTGCTGGTGATTTGCACAGGGGTAGAGCACACTGCAAGTGAGCCACAGTCTCCCTGCCCACCCCTGCTGCAGCTTTGGCTTCCAGTGACCCCACCTCAGTCTAGCTGGCAGCAGAGCCTTGACTCTTCCCAGGCATGTACTCTCCTGCAGAATATTACCAGAGAAGAACCAGCATCTGACATGAGCAAATCGTTCTCTTGTGTACCAGGACAGTGGAAGATTTACCTTGGCCTGAAGATATGTCTGGTGAGGAGGGGCTGGAAGAAAGAAAAGGAAGTGTTGGTTCCAATGGATTTCCAAGGAGGGGCTTTGGGAATGGCTGAAGAGCCCAGCTTCCAGTAAGGAAGGAAGCAAAGGTGACACTCTCTCTGTGGTTGCTATCCCCTAGCCCTGGTTGTGCAGCTGAGTGCCCAATTCAGTTGCATTTTGCAGTTAGGGCCGAATCTTGCCCCTGGTGCCATTGGAGCAGAGGTAGAGTGATACAGCTGGCAGCTGTGGTGGTGCTCAGGTTCGTACAGGTCGCACAGCAGAGTGCAGCCCACGGGCTTCCCAGGTTGTGCTTTCAGCTCCCCAAGAACGCCCCATTTCTCCATGGTGAAGCACGAGGTCTTTGGGGAACGAATGTCTTTCTGTTCAACTCAAAGCTGCTGAGCTGGTGGGGAAGCTTCATAGGCAGGTCAGCAAAATACCTCTCCCTCCTGCCAAAATGTGAGCTGTGGGGAATGGTGAGAGCGGTGCAGTCGCCATATGGTCACTGGAGGTACCCAGGTTGATGGGCATCTTGTGGGACCATGCGTTGCTCAAACTAGACGAGTTGATCCCATTGCTGGAAGCTGCTTTACAATGACCTTCCCTTCTGTTTTCTCTGCAGCACTTTACCCGACTCTCCCCCTGACTCTGGATCAGAAGCCTACTCCCCTCAGCAGGTGACTGGTAAGTGCTTTAAGGAGAGAGAGGGAGGGGGGAAAATATATATATAATAAGGAAAACCCCAAGCCCAACATCCTCCCCCTCTTTGTTCCATGAAAGTGGTTGGCTCTGCAGTCTTTATCAGACGGGAGAAAACAGGCGGCTGCAATACGTGGGGAGATTATCAGTTAGTAAATATCCCTGGACTGTCGCCTATTGTTCTCCTGCTGGTCTTTGCAAGGGGGGAGAGCGAGCAAGAGAGGGAACGGGAGGGAAGGAGAGATGTGAACCCACTCACACGGGGAGCGATCGGCAGCATGGCTCGTCCCTGGGAGGGTGGGATGTGGCAACTGGAGCCTCCCTGTCCTACCCTGTGCCCTGTGTGAGCCAAAGGCAAGGAGAACGTCCCTGAAATGGAACCCGGTTCGGGGAGACCAAGATGAGCCTTCCATTCAGCAGTAAGTTCCTTCCGTGCCCTTCCCTCCCTCCCTTCTGAGCTGGGGCTCCCCCTGCTAAGGGTGAGAGAGAGCCTGTCCCACCCCACGCTCACTGCCAGCCCCCCGGCTCCCTGCTGCGAAGCCACCCAGCGTTGTGGTGACCTTCGCTGTGCTTTGCTGGAAGAAACTCCTTGGTGAGGAGGGAAGGTTGTCCTGAGCTCCCTTCCCCCTCGCCAACAGCACCCTCTTTCCCAAGCTCCAACCATTCCTCACCAGGAACAGCACTTACTCTTTTTTTTTTTTTTTTTTTTTTGATGGAAGAGGTCAAGAGTTCTGTTTATCTTGCTAAAAAAAAATCCCTGGAATTCCTCCTGCCCCTTCCTTAAATATAACAAAGAGGCCAAGTTGCTCACCGAGGGGAGAGCTGCTCCAACGCTCTTCCAGCACTCTGCCTAGGGAGGAGAGGAGGCAGCAGGGAGCTCTTCAGGGCCCTACCTGCAGCACATGGCACTGGAGATGTTGAGAAAACCCATTCCTCGCAGTGCTTTGCAGGGCAAGGCACAAGGGCTGCCCTGAGTCTGTCTGTGCTTCTTGTCCAAGGGTGCTTGGGAAGCTTGCCTTCAGATCCTCATTTGATCACTGCATTTATTCATTTAGACTGCAGAAGGGTGCGATTTTGCCAGAGAAACGTGTCCCCCACTGTTTTGGGATGCAGAGAGGATGGAGAAGCTGGCGTAGAAGATCGGTGCAATTCACCAGCCTCCAATCTTTGCTTTCCACCCACGTAGCATATGGCACGTGCCCATTCGTTTCTACAAGACATAAAAATAAGCTGCTGAAATGGTGCCAACATTGACTCATCCTTGAGGTCCCTTCCAACCAAAGCCATTCTGTGATTCTGTGATTTTCTGCTCCATCTGAGAGGAGCTTGCTTGAGTTTTGCCTTGCATCAACTTTCGCACCAATGTCTTTGGTTCCTATAGTAAATTCATGAGTCCAGATTCCAGAAGTGTTTTGGTTTGAGCTGAAGCCCTCTGCTGTGCACTGGCATTGCCACACATTGAGCTGGTGTTGAGCTGGAGCCTAGGCAGCTGCAGAGGATTTGCATGCCTCTCCACCAGCATTTATTTTGATGGCAGTGTAGTCAAATCAATCCCAAGCATGGCATTTCTTTAGTATCCCATTCCACAGAGAGGACGAGGAAGGTGGGATCATTTGAATGCTTCTTTTTGTTTATTTAAATGTGGAGGTCAAAGTCACCTTCTGGCCCTGTGTTTCCAGGCACAGGCTTTGGGCTGGCCCCACTGTCGGACCTGTCATCCCACTGCTCTTTCTTGATCCGTGTAGTTCCTTGGTGATGCAGGAATGTTCATCAAATCATCAGGGTTGGAAGCCTCTTAAGGCCATCAAGTCCAACCCTCAACCCATCCCCACTGTCCCTCAGTGCCACGTCTCCATGATTCTTGAATGCCTCCAGGGACAGTGACTCCAGCACCCCCTGGGCAGACTGTGCAAAGACACTCTTTGCAAAGACATTTTTCCTAATATCCAGCCTGACCCTCCCTTGGCACAGCTTGAGGCCATCACCTCTCATCCTAACTTTCTGCCTGATGCTTCTTCCCTTTGAAGGGAATTGCAGGGCTGACACCAGACGGAATTCCTTAAAGCTAGGTTTTCACTACAGAACATTAGGATACCTAAGCTTTAGGAAATTTCAGGAGTGGTTGTAATCTTCCCTGTTGTCCCTCAGCCTGAGAACCTGTGTGCCCTTTGAGTTCTGTGAGTGAAGCTCAGTTCTGATGGCAGAGGAGTTCTCACTGGGAATTTCTCGTGGCTGGGCTTGGAGCTGAAGCTTAGACCTCATCGTGGTCTCACAGTCATTCTTCTTTCTCTATTCTTCAAGATCCTCACCTCCTTCGGACCATGACCCCTGAGAACATGTGCCATGTAATTCCCCCATCTCGCCTGGAGCATCCCCCGCCGCCGCCACCTCCTCCTCCTCCTCCTCCCCACCTGCAAGCCGTGCCCCCTCCTTCCCACCCTCACTACCCTGGCCTTCAGCGGGACCTGTACATGAAGGCTGAGCCCCTGATGCCACCCTATGGCATGGGGCAGGGCATAGCACCAGCTGACCTCCACCACGCTCAGCAGTCGCAGATGCTGCACCAGCTTCTCCAGCAGCACGGAGCAGAGTAAGGCTGTCGGACATTGGGATTTGGTGTGATTTGGGTTTGGGGAAATTCAGGGGAGGTGTTGAGGTGGGGGTGACCCAAAGGGGACACTCAAAGCTGGATGGTGGGGATAGAGGGGAAACTGAGATGTGGCTCAGTGCACGCCTGGCATAGAACTCACCATGGGGGGGTGGGCAGAAGGTGGTGATGTTGCAGGGTTGTCACCTCCCTGCTGTCCCACAGCCTCCCGGTGCACCCTGCCAAGAAAAGGAAGCACTCCGAGTCACCCCCAAACACCCTCAGTGCACAGATGCTCAACGGGCTGATAAAACAGGAGCCAGGCATGGGGTCTGTGCCACTCAACCCTGAAAGAGTTCCCACACCTCCTTGGCACCAGCCAGGACCTCTCTCTCCAGGTATGTGGTTTTCAGCCCCTCATCCCTTTAATCCCTCTCCAGCATGCAAACCTGGCAGTGCCCATGGAGAGTGTGTGAGTTCCCAGGAGCAGATCAGGGTCCAGACCTTGAGCCACTGCCGTGCCCTGGCAGTCAAGAGACGACTTGCTTCCTTATGCTTGTACCCAGCTGAATGCTGCATCATAGAATTATCAAGTCATAGTATGAAGGGACCTCAGCGATCATCTAGTTCCAACCTCCTGCCATGGGCAGGGTTGCCACCCACTAAGTTGGCCTTACCAGGGCCTCTTCAGGGTGTCTGAAACACGTCTTTCTCCCTCTGCAGGCCTGATTCAGGATAATGACAGCTTGAATGGCTCCTACCTAGACCCCAACTACCAGTCTATAAAGTGGCAGCCACATCAGCAAAACAAGTGGGCAACTCTCTATGATGCCAACTATAAAGAACTGTGAGTAATTCATCCAGACTCACGTCCAGCCTTTCGTTCAATGGACTTTTCATTCAAGGGCTGAGGTTCAGGAGATGCAATGTGTTGGACTTTTCCTTTTAACACCTGCTGACCTCTTCTTGCCTGCCCTGTGGTGGAGACACTCTCCCTGCTGTACCTTTGCCATTGGGAAGGCCGTTTCTCTGCATTTCTGAGTGAATGGTGGGGGATTAAGGAATGGGTCTGGTTCTGCAGGATTCAACAGTTCAGCAGCATTGGAGGCAGCCACTCAGACCTTGGGCTGCCACTGGGGGGTTCTTTTGGCAAATGCACCTTGTGCCTGAGCACCATTTGGATGTGCAGCACGCTTTCTCCCTGGCCAGCCTTATAAAAACGTTTTTAAAGGTGTGTTAGGATTTCCAGGACAGTGCATAGCAGGAGTGACTGGGGATAATCCAGAGCCACTTCAGCACATGTTGAGAGCAGTGCAGAGAGGAGCCTGAGGAGGAGGAGTGGTTGGTGGGTGGAGGAGAGGAGAGAAAGGAAGAGGGAAAGGTTGGAGGGAAACTGGAAAACTAGGAGGGGTGGAGAGACCAGAAGTGCAGGCAGAGAGGAAAGCTGGGGTAGAGGGTGGAGGCAGAGTGTGAACAAGCCTTGTAGGAAAGAGTGCTCAGGAGGAACCCACTCTGGATCCTCCCTGCATTCCTCAGAGGTGACTGAGAGCAGGCAGGCAGCAGGCAGGCTTCCAGGAACTAAGCAGACTGCCCTGTTTCCCTTCCTTCTCTTTCTGGACAGCCAGAGGCTGGTAGAGTCCTCCTGTGCAATGCCAAATAACCCAGGGCTGTCATCATAGCTTGCCCAGATGGTGCTCAAGGTAGGACAAGGACGTGTGGCTTGAGAGCTCTGCAGAGACATGGCTGATGGTGACACCCTGCCATTTGCAAAGGCCATATTTGTGGCTATTTTCCTAGCCACAGCAGGAGAGGCTTAAGCTGGGGAGGTGTTTGCTTCTGTTTTACCAAACTGTTTCCATAGTCCTCTGCAGACCTCTGCTTCAACTTTGTTTCCCCTGCGGTGTGAATCTTTTCTTTAGTGTGTCGTGGCCTGGCAGCTTCCCAGTGGACTCCCTTTGCCAAACTGTTTTCCCATCTTTAGTGCTTGGTTCTCAGCCAGGGCCTGGACATCACTGGGCAGCTACAGCACTGAGCTTTTCTCACCTGACAGAGCCACCTTCCTGGTCCCAAGAGTGGCCTCTCATCCGCTATCAGTGCCAGCAGGAGTTTCCCTGTGTGACAGAAGCACAAACACACCTTTTGTAGTCAGCAGGATCCAATAAGCTCTTGTACATGGCCTCACTTTTCTCTTTGACACAATGATCCCTCCTTTGCCTTCCATCTCTCTGTTTACCCATGCTGGGTAAATGGTTTCTCACCTGAAACACGTCACAGCTCCTGTGACAGAGGTTTGTTGCACACCCTGATATTGCACAGGCACACTAACACTGCACTGCTGTCACTGGAGTGCTGCAGAGTGCAGCTTTCAACTCCTACAAACCCAACCTTGCACTACCACCTTCTTCAGCTCTGTGCTCGGGGTCGCTTGCTAATACCTGCTTTTAGGATTTAGGGTGGAAGCCAGAGCAAACCTACTTTTGCTGCATTTAGGTCGTGGCCCAGTTGCGTAATGGCTAAATTCCTTTGAAATGGCTTCACCTCAATTTTAGGAACCAACGTGTGGTTTGTTGTGGTGCTGGATTCGACCCAAAGAAAAGATGAAGGATTGATAAGCTGCATTTTCTGCAGCACACAACCTCATTGGTCTCTTCCCTCTTTGCAGCAGCTCAGCAGTCAGGTAGCTCCAGGAGGGGTTGTGCAAGCTGAGGCCACATCTCTTTTCTAAGCAGAAGATCATTTAAATGGGTCTCTTGGTGTAGCACTGCACCAGAATAGAGCTGGGAGGAACTGCACAAGCTCAACTTTCTCTTCTTCTACAAGGGCTTTTCTTCCTTTTTTCCTTTTTTTTTCTTTTTTTGACAACCAACTAATGTTTGAGCAGATAGGAGTCTCTCTCTTCCTTTTTGCTGTACTCAACAAATGAGTGTCTCTTTGAGATCTGTGAGTACTTCCACATTAGTTTCCTCTGGGATCATTAAGCAAGAGCCAGCCCTTCCCAGCCTGTTTTAGCTGTCATGCACTTTATAAGTGGTGTTATAGCTTCCTGCCCCTAGGGGAAGCATATTTTCTCCCTTGTGATCCACGTGCCCACAACCTATTCACAGCCCCAGGAATCTGAATCATCTGAATCACCTGATTTTTTCCTACCCTTGCTCTCCAGACAAGACCAGAAAGGCATGTTAAGGAGAGAGGCTGAGCCACAAGCCCATAGGAAACTGTTGAGTTTCTTATCCCAGTGTGGTTTCTCATCATTCAAGAGCTTGCCAGCGTTTCAGCAGTGACTGCTGCACCCAACAAGCAGCCATGTGCCCTGTGCAGGAGGTTGAGTTCTCAAAAGCTGTAGGCCCACCTGGGTATATGGTGAAAAACCTGCATCCAGAAACACAGACAGTGTTTCTTTATGGAGCAAGACAAGTGCTCGCAGCCCCCATGGAGGCAGATTTCTCAGGTTTATAGTGCTTGATCTTCCTCCTGTTCTGCCCCAGAGATGTGAGGAGGCCTTTTCTTCCATCATTTCCTTGTGCTGCTCTTGGTGAAGGCACTGGTAACCAGTACCAAAAGATTTTTTGTTCCTCAGATGTATCCTGCCATGGCTTTCAGCCATTTCTCATTTACTGCTGATCTGGGCTGTATCTCAGAGCCAGGCTCCTTCCCAGCTGTTGAGCTGGGCTCAGCACAGGGAGAATCTGAGCAAGTTCTGCAGTTCCTGGGTAGCTTTTCTGCCTTCTGAGAGATGTGCCTGGTACCAGTGAGCCTTCTCATAGGATGGTAACAGATTCCTTGTGCCCAGGGGCTGTAACCAGGAGAAGAGCAAAGGGAACTGAGCTCTCCAGGCCTGTAGGTGTAGTTGTGGGACTGTAGGCTGTAGTTTTCTTAGAAGCACTTTGAGTTAAGGAAATTGAGGAGAGGATAGAGGGAGGAAAAAAGGGCTCCTTTATGGATTGGAGGTGCCTGGAAATCTGTGCCTTAGCATGCTTGGTTTATGTCTCAGGCTTTGGTTATATGTGGGCTGAGGAATCTGTGTTGCTTGAAGGAGACCTAAGTCTCCGGATTAGTTTTATTGATAGTATGTTTCTCCTTGGCCTTTTGCACTGGTTTTGTGGTTTCAGACTTGCTGAACCTTCAAAAGGGTTAGGTGGTTTCCAGCAGCGGTGCCAAAGAGGCCTGGAACCAGGCAGCTCACTAATTTACTCTCAGGAGCAGAAGTAATCCATCTCCCTGACAGTGCACTCTGATAAATGCCAGCAGGCTCCCTCCTCCCTCTCCCCAAGTATTTACAGTTTGAGGTAAGGCACTTTGAGGGGAAGGCTAGCTCTGCAGTCTCTTCCCATCAAGCAAGCTTTTGGAAGCCTGGTTTGGAATAAGCCAGCACCAACAGCTGCAGATCCCACGGGAGACAGAGAGCAGCGTGATGTGGTCCAGTCCTGAATGTATTTCAGGTGTTGGTGAAGATGGGCTGAGATGCTGCTGGAAGCCTGGAAGGAGAACAAAGCATGAAATTACTGAGCAGACCCTCAGCTGTGGGGCATTCCAAACACGATGGCTTAGGAATGGTTGAAATAATGGGGAATCTGGAATAGGAAATTCTCCTCTACCTCTTTCCTTCCATAAAGAAAACAGCTGATGGCATGAGAACTTCCCTCTGACAATCCTGTTTTCTGCAACAGATCTAAATGCTGATCCGCTCATTATCAGAGACATTTTTCCTTGCATTGCCTTTCCTTTAGAGAATGAGAGCACTCCCCACTCCTGTAAGTGTGGATCCCAGCATGAAGAGCTGGTAACCCCTGAAACCTCCTTTCCTCTGATCCTGGCCTTCCGAGCCCTGCGTTAATCTGCTTTTGTCAGCGGGGCATTCTGCCCAAAATAATCCATTTGACCCTCGACCTTTTCTTCCTGATGCTTTGCCCTCTGGCCCTCACGCTCATTGGGAGCTAGCCTTGCTTTTGCTGCCCCCAAGCCATTGGCTGCTGTTGTCCCTGACCCCAGGAGCTGCTCCTGCCTTCCCCAACCTTTGAGCACAGGGGTGGGATGGCAAAGACACCCAGGTCCCCATGTTGGCTGTGTTCCCCGTGGGTTAAGGTGAGAACTAGGATGTGTGGCAGTGGGGATGCCCTCCAGTGCACCCCATGTTGGAGGGTGACATTAGTCACAGCCCGAGTCCTTTGGGAGCTCAGGGAATGAGACTCAGCCTGACAGTCTTCCTCTGTTTTGGCGTATGTTTAGCAGCCATCAGTTTGAGTGATGTTAACCAGAGAATGGTTTGGAAGCAGATGTGGTTTGGAAGTACAACCAGCCTTCAAGTGGAAACAGCTGAGGTGGCAGAGGGGTGAAAGCAGATGGGAAAAGGGTTCCTCCGTCCCTGAGTGAGCACAGAAGTCCTAGGGCCTGATAAAGCTCTGGCTCGTGAGCCAGAGGAGCCAAATGGAGACCTTGTGGCTAAGGCTGGGAGGTGAGCAGCGGTAGAAGGGAATTCCTTTCGTGCTTCTGGGCTAAGATAGTGCTCTACTTCCACCATCTGGCCTGTGTTCAGGGTCCGCATAGTCCCTCGGGTGCAGGAGATGAGGAATTGCATCCCAGTGTTACTGGGAACGGGCCCCCATATCTCCTCCAACATTAACCCTCCTGTAGAAAAGTGCTCAGTGAGTTTTAAGGCTGATATCAGAGGCCAGGCTGAGCTGCCTTTTGCCTTTTGAGTATTTAAGCACAAAAATAAAGGGGAAAATGTGGGATTTTGGTCTTCTGCTGGAGATTCTTGATGGGCTGAGATGCATCCCAGGGGCCCACCCTCCAAGGTCTGAGTTCTTCGGTGGTGAGAGAAAAAGGGACTTGCTTAAAGGCCACATATTTCCCTCATTCCCATGGCAACCAGCCCATTAAGGAGATGGAGATTAAACCAACCCAGCTGGTGTGTATTGGCCAGGCAGCATCCTCCTCCTCCTCTCACTCAGACCTTGCTGAGTGGGAACTAGGCACGTGGGCAACATCAAGGATGCGATGGGTAAAACTAATGGGTCTGTGGGACCCCTGGCCTCGGTGTTGCCACATGCCATGCCCCACAGACCCTGCACTGCCTCTGTAGCTGGGAGCTTAGGCCTCTCGTGATGTGCTCAGGGCTCTGGCCTAATGTCTGCTGTCTTTTCCACAGCCCCATGCTCACCTACCGCGTGGATGCTGACAAAGGGTTCAACTTCTCTGTGGGTGACGATGCCTTTGTGTGCCAGAAGAAGAATCACTTCCAGGTCACAGTCTACATTGGCATGCTTGGAGATCCCAAGTATGTGAAGACCCCCGAGGGCCTGAAACCCTTAGAGTGCTTCTACCTGAAGCTGCACGGAGTGAAGGCAAGCAGGAGCCAAGCGAATGCAGCAGGGAGAAGGGGAGCTGAGATCAGGCAACACCGCGTCTTTCGTATGCTGAGTTGTAGGGGTGTGTGCAGGAGAATGCTGAAGGTGATACTTGATCTTCAGCTCTTGAGATAGGACTCTAAGATGGATTCAGTTGCTCCCTGGGCATCCCCAGGGTTTCCTCTCCCTCCTAGAGGCATTTGGGAAGATCTATTCACCCTCTGCCAGGGCCGCACCCAAGTTAGGCACTGCGTGTTGGTTGTGCAGGAGGGGTTGGGGAGACAGTGGGAAGGGGAAAATCTCGGCTTTCCGCTCTTCATCACATCCCCAAATCTTTCTCTCCAGCTAGAGGCCCTGAACCAGTCGATCAACATCGAGCAGTCGCAGTCTGACCGCAGCAAACGGCCCTTCAACCCTGTCACGTGAGTGGGGGCTGGGGAATAAGCAACAGCAGGGGAGGGTGGGGAAGGGGGGCTTCGTGGGAAGGCTCAGGATAGCACTGTGGGTAACACACCCTCCAGTTTTACTGCCCACAGCAGAGTTTTCCTCCCTTTATGCTGCCCACTCCTTTTTGTGCCCAATTCATAGCCCTACCGTAGTGGAGCAGGACAGGAGATGGCCATTCCTTAAGAAGCCTCCTCTCCAGAAGCATCCTCACTTGCTCCTCTGTTTTCTCTTGGACAGGGTCAACCTGCCTCCAGAGCAGGTCACTAAGGTCACTGTGGGGCGGCTGCACTTCAGCGAGACCACGGCTAACAACATGAGGAAGAAAGGAAAACCCAATCCAGACCAGAGGTGAAGAGCAGGGACACCTTTACAAACTGTTCTGTGCACTCAGGGCCTGTGGATGTGCCAGCCCTTGCTTTGAGAAGCAACAGGTCCTGTGCTGGCCATCTTTTTCTCACGGAGGAAAGGAGATGTCTGCTGTGGCCACTGTGGTCTTCCCCCATTCTACAAGGGGTTGTGGACAGGGGAGAGGGGATGTGTGCAGCTCTCTGTGACAGCCTGATGCCCTGTCCTTGAGGCAGATGCAGCAGTTTGCAGTGCAGGATGGCACCCTGACCTCTCTCCCCTCTTGACAGGTATTTCATGCTTGTGGTAGCCCTGCAGGCACATGCACAGAACCAGAACTACACACTTGCAGCCCACATCTCTGAGCGCATCATCGTCCGAGTAAGTCCTCCTCTCCTCCCATAGCCCTTTGCTGGATGAACTGGGCAGTTCTCCTCCACTTCTCTAGCTTTTCAGTGCTTTCCCCTCCCAGCCCTTTCTTCCCTTTTCCAACACTGCCTTGCTTGCAGCTATCCTTGCCCATGGCTGTCCCTGTACATGCCTGCGTTCTCATTCCAGCCTTTCCTCACCTGCTTGGTTGGAGCAGCTTCAGGGCATGCAAGAACTTGTTGCAGGACAGGGAAGGTGTCTCCTTGTCCTGACCTTGCACTGGTGCTTACAGTAGAGCTGCTGGGAGTGAGAGAATGGTGTTGTTAGGATTCCACAGCAGGGACAAGACCTCCAGGTGCAGAAAGACTGGGTGCCCTGCCGTGGCTGCACTTTGTGCAGCAGCATTCAAATGGGAATGCAGAGCAGCAGGAAGAGGTAGGCATCATCCCCGGACTCTCCCAGGGATCTTTTAATGAGTGTTCAGCTTTGTGGACTGAAGGTAGCAGGTAAAATGCAAAGAGAAGGACCTCAAAGTCTGCAGACTGATGTAAAAGGAATTGTGCAGCCTCCAAGGTGCCCAGAACTGCAGGGAATTGCAGGCAGCCTGTGCTGCTCCATCCCAACAGGTTGCAGAACAGTGGGATTTGGGGGACTGTGGAGCCAGGAACAACAGCTGTGTCACTTATGGACTCCAGATGTCCTTGTATTGAGTTGGAATTGTAAGAGCTCTGAGGACTGAGATAACACAGCTGAAGAAAGCAAGGATATTCCTTTAGGGAGAGGAGCAGAGCAGGCGTAACCTTGGTTCCTGATGAAAGAGGCTTGGTCGGGGCCAGCAGATGAATGCCAAGACTGCAAAAGCAGGCTGGGATTTGTTCCCAGAGCTGGCAGTGTATCCCTGTCCCTGCCACTTTCCTTTGTGCTGCTGCAAAGCTCTGTCTAACGCCTTCACAGCCTCGCTTGTCCTCTGTTGTGCTGTCTGTCAGCTCCCTGCTGTAGGGCAGGTGCTGTTGCAGCTCAGCCTCCAGGTGTTCCTAGAGCTGCGTGCTGTAGAGAAGGCACCTCCACCAGGGTGCTGTGTCATGAGCTTTTAATCTCAGAAGTCCCCTCCAGCTTCTCAAGCCACTTGGATCAATCTGCCCCCATTTCAGCTGAGATCTTCCCCATCCCTGACTCCCATTTGCAGATCAAGGACACAGCTGTGTCGTTGGGGTGCATCTGCTTATCTCTGCCTTTTTCTCCCGTCTCTTCCCAGGCCTCCAACCCTGGCCAGTTTGAGAGTGACAGCGATGTGCTCTGGCAGCGGGCTCAGCTCCCTGATACCGTGTTCCACCACGGGCGGGTGGGCATCAACACGGACCGCCCTGATGAAGCCCTCGTGGTCCATGGCAATGTGAAGGTGATGGGTTCCCTGATGCATCCATCAGATGTCCGAGTGAAGGAGGACATCCAGGAGGTAAGAGCTGAGCAAACCAGGCTGGGCTTCACTGACGTGGCTCAGAGCAGGCCTCAGGGCCCTCTCAGACAGTGCCTCTCGCCCTTGGGACCTGTCATAAAGGTGAACCATAGTGAGTTTTGCCATCTGGGGTCAGAGCAATGGGATGTAAGGAAGCAGCACCCCACTTAGGAGATGCGTGTCTCTGTTTTGTCCCAGGTGGACACCACAGAACAGCTGAAGAGGATCTCACGGATGCGGCTGGTGCACTACAACTACACACCTGAGTTTGCAGCTACAGTGGGCATCGACAACACCTCTGAGACAGGTACAGGCCCTGCACTGTGCTACCCTGCTTGTGTCTGTTCAGCCTGGAGAAGGCTCTGGAGATGCTTCACTGTGGCCTCCCATGATTCCTCTGCTGAGACTCAGTGGTCTGTGGGCCTCTGATGAGCTCTGCCCAGGATAGAGTGTGCACCTTGTGCTGTCCCCAGCACAGAGAGCTCCTGTCAATAATCTCTCGGGTCAGAGGAGGAGCTGTGGCAGGAGGATTGCTGCTCAGTCCTGAAAGCCACTGTGCCATTTCCACACAGGTGTCATTGCTCAAGAGGTGAAGGAGATCCTCCCTGAAGCAGTGAAGGACACCGGGGACCTGGTCTTTTCCAATGGGAAGACCCTGGAGAACTTCCTGGTGGTGAACAAGGTCAGTGGCAGCCTGAAGGGACAGGAAGGGCAGGGAAACTGGAGAGGCTGTTGAACCTGGGTCCTAGAGCTGGAACAGGGAAAGCACGGAACAGGGAATGCTTCTAAACCAGTACCCTATATATGAGTTTCAGACTTGGCTGATCTTTCAAATGTCAGGAGCTGACCTGAGTTGACAGCAGACATCTGCAGGGAGGAGCTTGCCTGATGTTGTTAAACGTTGTCAGCATCTCCTTCAGGATAGGCTTCTTGTTGGCAGCCTCCTGCAGGGAGACTCTTGGTCATAATCTCCTTTCTAGATAAGATAAGGTGGTTATGTCAAGATAACCAAGAGCACCTGGCTGCCTGAACTCACTGTAACCCATGACAGCTCTGTTTGCTGCTCTGGGTGTTGAGGGGATGGAGCTCACTGCCTCACTGCTCTCCCAAAGCTGCCAGCTCTCTCCTGCATCCCTCCCTCCTCAGTGCCTAGATTGAGAATGGCCAGGGCTGAACCATCAGGGATCCTTTGGTTTTTAAGAGAATCTCTCTTGTTCTTGTTCTTGCTGACTGTTTAACCTGTTCCATGGCAGGAGCGCATCTTCATGGAGAATGTGGGAGCTGTGAAAGAGCTGTGCAAGCTGACAGACAACCTGGAGACCCGCATTGATGAGTTGGAGAGATGGAGCCACAAGTTGGCCAAGCTCAAACGCCTTGACAGCATGAAGTCAACTGTGAGCTCTGGGGCATTCAGGTATGGGCACGCTGAGGGCAAGAGTCCAAAGAGCTCTTTTCATAGAACCACTAAGGCTGGAAAAGACTTTTAGGATGACCAAGTCCATCATCAGCCCATCCATGCCCACTAACTGTACCCTCAGTGCCATATCCACACATTTCTTGAACACTCCAGGGACCCCAGGCAGTCCTGAATGGCAGCTCATTTTGGGAAAGACAAGAGGGGAGGATTGGTAGGGTATTGACAGTTGTCATTTGGCCTGGAGTTGTTTCAGAGACGTGAGGCAGCTCTGTCATCCACATACCAACATTGTGCTCTCAGACCAGCTCCCCCCCAAAATACTATAAAATGGTCACCACATTTTTCCAGAGTTAGTGAGTGCCTTTCTCAGAGCAAAGAGTTTCCAAATTGTCTTACTGATCTATGCCAGCTTATGAAGGTTTGGAGCAGAATTCAGGCTTTGTACCAGCACTGTGTCTGCCCCCTGGAGCAGGCTGGGTGACAAGACTTTGTGACTGTCACTTTACACAGAGTTACCTTTTTGCCTGAGAACCTTTTCTTCTTGCAGCCAAACGGGAAGCCAGTTCAGCCGTGCAGGAAGCATGCCCCACAAAAAGAGGCCTCACAAGATAGCCAGCAAGGTAAGGGACTGCTCCCAAACAAGTCTTGCTGCGTGGGGGAAGGTGGACTCTCTGGGAACAACATTCTGCATAGTTCTCCAGTATTTTCCTGCACTTGCTGCAGAGGGAGAAGCCCTGTCTTCTCCTGTTTTCCCAATCTCTCCTTCCATTTTGTCTGTATCTAATGGAGGTGTTTTCTGGCTTTGCTCTGAGAGGGCCGGGTGCTCATAGGGGAGCAGAAGGAAAGCTTCGGATGTGATGTGCTCAGAAGCAGAGAGGACCAGAGCCCTGAACTGAGCTTGGGATTTCTCTTTTGTAGTCACCGTCGGTTGTCCCGGAGCAGGCCTGCATCAGTCAACGCTTCCTGCAAGGCACCATCATTGCCTTGGTGATCATCATGGCCTTCAGGTGGGACCACACATCCAGGTCTCCCTCCCTCCATCTCATCAGCTCAGTTTAGGCTGTGCCAACCAAACTGGCAGTTCTTTGAAGCACAGTTCCCAGGAGTGGTCTCTCTCCTTACTGCATCCTCAAGGCTTCCCAGCACCGTGGTTGGGAAGCATATCAGTGTCTGAGAACAAAGAGGTCCAGCTTATTCTGCCATCCATGGGGTGGTCAGTGGACCTACAGATCCATTCATGGACTGAAATCCTTTGGCAGCAGGTCAGCACCATGCCATGTCCACTGCTCCATCTTCAGCCTGGACCTTTGTCTTTGCAGTGTGGTGTCCATGTCCACGCTCTACGTGCTGAGCTTGCGCAGCGAGGAGGACCTTGTGGATATTGAAGGGTAGGTATCTCTGGGCTCTGTGGGATGGATGTGGTGGCTGGGGCAGTCTAAGACAAGAGGAGCAGCTGCTGTGGGGTTATTGACCACAGCTGTAAAGCCAGTCAAATGCATCACGTGCCCGAGCCTTAAACTGTTTGTAGCAAGAGTGAGGAGCAGAAGAAAAAGAAAACATGCTGATGGTTGGCTGCTGACATTACTCGTGGTCTGTCTGAATGTTATTTGGGTGCCTCTTCTGCTGCACTAAAACAGCAGAGTCCCATCACTGAGTTGTAGGGTTGGACTGGTCTGTACGAGGCAGAGTTTTCCTTAGTGTGGAAAGAATGTCAGGCATGCACACAGTCAGCCTGTGCTGGGCATTCAGTTTCAGCACACTTTGCTCCTTCAGGAGCTCATGGTACCATATAATGAGCATCTTTCTCTCTTTCTTTTCCCCACCCTACTTCTCTCCCTTACGTTCTGGTTACGACTTCCATCCAACTCATTTTGTTTCCCTTTAATTTTCCCTTTCTTTTCATTTCCATTATCCACACCCTCTTTCATTGCCTCCCTTTACTTCCCTTCTCCATTCACTGCCCCATAGCTCTTTTGCTGTGCCCACTGCCTGTCTCCTGGCCCTCTTTCGGCACAGGGGTCCCGGGGTCCCAGTTGCTCTATGCCCACGGTATGTTACTCTTTCATTATACTGTTACTTAATTGCTGCATCCCTTCTCTTAGTTCCCCCTTTTTTTTTTTTTTCCATCTGCACCACAGAAGACAAAATCTTGTGCAAAATGTGGCGGCTCAACAAGTGGGGTTCCAGGAGTTATGTCATAGAGTCCTTAAGGTTGGAAAAGACCTGTAAGATCATCAGATCCAACCACCCACCAATCGCTGTCGTGCCCATCAAACCATGTCAGGCAGTATGGAAGGGGAATTGTGGTCAGCAGATTGAAGAACCAATGAATCAAAGGCTAAATAAAGAAGTTGCACACTGCAGGTAGAGCAAGAATAGGCAGTACTTAGAAAGGATGAAAATTAAAGAATTAGGTGTTCCTACACTCTCTGTGTATATGAGTAGTTTTATTGTGAAGGGTCACTCAATTACAGGTGAGCTTAGTGTGCAAAAAAAGGGCAGGAAAAAAACTACATTAATTACTTCCATTTATGAGCCATCACCACTGAGAGTATTTGGAAAGGCACTGACCCACTTCTGGTGCCTGACTCACTAACAGGCGGTCTATGAATTCCACTCCTGTATATTGGCACTGCAGGAAAACATCTTTTTCCTGCAAACAGAAAGCAGTTGGAGAGGCATGGCTTTAAGGCAGCACTGCAACCCAGGGAAAGTTGGCTGAGTTAATAATTAGGAACAGATGTGTAAAGCAGCTTTGTCAGTGTGATCTGTGGCAACATACTTTCCTTCAGAAGGAAACAGGTCCTATTTGTCTATCAGCACTCTTTGAAGAAAATACTGTGTGAAGAGCAGTGCAAGGTATGGCTAATTTGTTCTTTTAAGAAAACCACGAGGTTTACAAGAGGCTGTTAAAAAGTAATTGCTGATGGGAGGCAAGATAAAGCTGGGCATGGTGAGTGTTGACAAGGCAGTGGAGGGATGGAGGTAGATCTTAGCTGGGATAAAGGCTGGCTCCAGAGGCTGGGTCTGCTTTTCCTCCAGCAGTCCAACACCGTGTCTCACTAATGAAAGAAATATGTAATCAGGTACTTCTTGGAGGTGACAGTGTTATTTTGCTGTCTCTAAATGAGTGAAGACACTTTGAGAAACCTCGAGCAATGCTACAGGACAGGCAGGACATGGCTTCAGGACAAGCAAAACATGGGAAAGAGAAAATTGAAGCGAGGAGGGAATGGACAGGTCAGGTCATCCATTTCTTTGCTATAAGCTCAGGAGAAAACTCTATGCAGTGAAAAGCTACAGCTTAGACTCATTCCTGCCAGAAGCAGAACTGTCACCCATCCATTGTGGCATCTCCCAGCTGTGTTTGTGCCTAGTGTTCTTCTCTCCTGCCTTGCTTTTCGCAGATCACTGCAGGCTTTGCCCTTCTTCCCCTGCCTGCCATTCACTGTTTGCTTGTTCCATCCCCCCATTCACTGCTACACCCACAAAGTGGTCCCCCGTGGCAGAGCCTCACCCCTGCTTTCCTACCTTTCAGGTCAAGCCAGAATATCGACAAAACACAGATGGTGCGATCCACAGCTGCGTCAGACAGAGCCAGCAGCAAGTCCCCAACACACCACGGTAGGTCACAGCTGCACCTGCACACCAGAGGCTCATGGCACAGAGCTGGCTCCATGCTGGGAGCTCCTCAGAAGAGATACAGTGTGTGCTCGCTGCTCCTGCTGTTGGCTTACTCCGTCTCTCTGCTCCTTGCCCTGCAGTCACGTCAAACGTGCTCGACTTACTCGATGCTTTCCCTGGTCACAGCGTGCTAGCCTGCTTCAACCCACCGTGTTTCTCCACTTGCTGCTCTGCTGCTCCCACCAATGCCTCCTCTGTTGCCCTCGCTGAGGCCAGCCCTACTCGTGTCACCAATCAGACAGGTAAGTCCCAACCCAGCAGAAGGGAGATGCTGGGACGATGCTGAGCTCTCTGTCCCACTACTGCATCGCTTCGTGGCCCCAGATTCCTCTCACCTGGTTTCCTAACCCTGCACCTGCCCAGGGACTGCTGGGCTGCCGATGTGGTGTGGTTTGTACATCCGTGATCCTGCTTCCAGGGTAAGTGGCAACAGAAGAGCTCGCTCTGCTCTGCCAGTATGGAACCATGAGAGCTGGACAGTGTGCCCAAGCAACTGCAGTTTGCAGTGCAGCCTCAGTGCTGTTTGCTTTTGGCGGGCCAGGAGCTGTGCTTTACAAGCCCACTTATTATGTCACTACTGCAGGAGGAGCAGCAGCATCTCAGGCAGTCATTGTTCAGCCATAACACCCTTCGAGTCATAGAACCATAGGAATGTTGGTTTGGAAGGGACCTTAAAGATCACGTGGTGGGTTGGAAGAAACCTCAAAGCCCCACCAGCCCCACTCCCTGCCCATGGGCTGGATGCCCCTTACAAGCTCAGGCTGTGCAGGGCCCCATCTAGCCTGGCCTTGGGCACCTCCAGGGATGGGGCACCCACAGCTTCCTTGGGCAGCTGTGCCAGGGCCTCACCACCCTCTGAGTAAATAATTTCCTCCTTACATCTAGCCTAAATTTCCTATCTTTTCCATTCCCCCTTGTCCTATTACTCCATTCCCACACCCTCCTCCTGTTTTTAAGTACTTGGAAGACCACAATGAGTTGTCCTGGAGCCTTCTCTTGTCCAGGCTGAATGAGCCCAGCTCCCTCAGCCTGTCCTTGAAGGAGAGGTGCTCCAATGCCTTCACCCTGACTTTAGCTCTGCCCAATGCAAGGGCTGTTAAATGCAAGGGTGTGACACAGGAGTGACATGGGGATAGGACAACCCCAGACCCTCAGCCTCTCAGCACAATGTCTCTCCCTTTCCTTCACAGACCAAAGTCAGACCTCACTGCAGCCAGTGACCAATATCAAAGCCAAATCCAGGGGCATCACCAGGAAGGCAACCTCCTACACCAAGTGGCCAAAGACTCCTGACAGGTCTCAGAGCTTCGGCAGCCCCAATGCCAGCCCCTCCTCCCCCTTCACCCACCTCCAGGGCAAATCCAAGTACATCTCCAACCTCTCGCTCTCCCGCAGCAACTCCCCACTGGGGCAGGCCCGGCCGCAGCGCAGCATCAGGCAGCTGGTGAGCGAGTGGCCCCACACACAGGACCCCAGCACGGATGGTAGGTGGGCCCCTGGCTGCCTTCTCATGGCTCTTCCTCACTTGCCAGTCCTTTTCTGTTCCTACATAGCCCATTTCTCACCCACAGGGCCAAGCCCAGTGCTGCGTTCCATCCGGATCCTGGAGATTGATATGGCCATCCAGTCCCAGTTCTGTGCAGCCAGCAATGCATGCAGGTGAGGAGGACAGCAGTTCTTGGGGAGCTCCAAAAGCAGATGGGCTATTTCTGGATCCCTGGGCCCTCGCTTGCCATCACTCCAAGGCAGCCCTTGGGCACAGGAGCTGGGTCTCCTGCTGAGCCCAGTGTGCAGGAGGACTGGATTTAGTGATTAGCTGGCTTGGGAACTGGCCTGGGGAGCCCACCCCTCTGCAGTCCCAGCCCAGAGAAGGGACTTTAGAGCCTGTCCTGGCCATCTCACAGCCAGCTGGATTGGTTGTGGGATGGTTGGTGGCCCTGCGTGTGGCAGGGGGGTTGGAGATTCATAATCCTTGGGTCCCTTCCAACCCTGGCCATTCTGTGATTCTGTGCAGTGAGGTCTTTTTCTGTCTCTCTAGGACTGGAAACTTCACCTACCGTATCCCCATCAGCCAGCTGACAGCAGTGAACACCAACCTGACCCTGGAGATGAAGTGAGTGGACAGGGCTCCTTGGTGTTCCTACATCCCTCAAGTGGGCTGGGTACTGTGCCATGTCACCATGGTGTCTCCTGCCCAACCTGGTTAGAGACAGCAGTGCCTGGCACCTTCCAGTGCTTTATCACCTCTTGTCTCCCCAGCTCTTCCTCTGTGCTGTCCATCTCCCTTTGTGGCCTTGTCTCCAACGACCCTTGCCAGGATGTTGCAAGCACAGACAGCTTCAGTGATGGCACAGACACACAGGTAGGGAGGGGCTCAGTTCACATTACCTGCGTGTGTGAAGCATTGTGCTCAGACAGCTGTCCTGTGCACTGATACTATATATCCCTGAGCTGATGCTTTCAAGGCCCATGGGGCTGGATAAAGTGTTTAAGTGCTTTTTGTCCTCCTCAGCCTGTCTCCATAGCTGAGCATGGAGGTGCTGTTCCTCCATAGGCTGCTGTAGGATCACTCGATGGAGCAGAGATGTACTCTGCTTGCCATGACAGCCTTGGAGACACCCCAGGATGCTCAACCCTGCTCTCACTGCAGATAACCTGTTTTCTTCCCCAGGAAACAACGCACCGCTGGCCTCTTGTGATGCTGTCTTTCAGGGAGTTCACCTACCACTTCAGGGTGGCACAGACTGTGAGTACAAGCAGCTGCTTTGCTCCTCTTGTCCAGGGCTAAGTGGGAGGATGGCAACGGGAATGTGGCATCGTGCATCCTACCCCAACCTGTAAGCTCTTCTTGCTTTCTCACATAGGGCCGAGCCAACTGCAGCACTGCTCCCGAACAGATGGGACACCTTTTTACTGACTATTATTTTCAGTTTTACTGGCTCTGTGAGTGAGTCCTGGCAGCACCAGTGCCCTTTGGTTGGAGAGAGGAGGGGGACTGGTGACACTGGGGAACCTCCTGTACACCCTCCTCCGCTGACCCCCAGCCCCACCTCAGCCCCATCAGCCTCCTTGGGGGTGGAGATGGTTTGGTTGTGGCTGGCAGTGCTGACACCGAAGTACAGCACACACAGAACACAGGACCTAAGCCACAGAAACACAACCAGCCCTGCGCCATCTCCTGGGCTCACCTAGCACCAACACTGCCCCAAACACCCCTCCTTCCCTTCTGGGGACGCTTGTATCCCCCAGCCCCTGCAACACTGGATTTGAAAGCATTACACTGGATGGAACGTGGATGGATCTGCCACATCCCAGAGCATGGGACTTGCCCAGCTGTGCCACGTCAGTTCTCCACAACACTGGAATTGCTCAACACTGGAGCCCTTTCCAAGAGGGAAAAGCTGGAGTTTCACCTGGAAAGGAAAGGCTGTGCCTGGACATACTGGAAGTTGTACACTGGAGTTGCTGTTCCTTTCATTTGGACCTGCAGCCCCACTGGACCCCTGGGGACCCCAGGACCCCTGTTCTCCACAGAAGGTGCAGCTTCCACATTTGCCCCCCTCCTCACTGTGCTGTCACTATATCCAGGTCAGGATGGATAAACTCAAAAACCCCACTAAAGATGCTGCTCAGGCTGTGCTCAGGCCAAACTACACGTGGGGACACTTAACCATCAGCCCCTAGGAGGAAAACTACCCCAAGCCACCTGTGTTAAGTGTTGGTTAAACACTGTAGGACCCGTTTTCTTCACTTGCCAGTAGTGCTTGGCCTCATGTGGTGTGCACAGAGCTGCCCAGTTGGCTCTGAAGAAAAAGATGACTGGCCAAGTCCAGTGTGCCCTGCAGAGCAAAGTTGGGCTGCTGGGGATGTGTGGTGTGGTTTCACTGCACAACCAGCGGGGGAAACAGCAGTGACAGTGAGTTCCCACTGTCTCTGCTCTCAGAAAGCAGTTACGTTGAGTGTACTCTGGGTATTTTACTGTTACAAGTTCTTAACTTGCTAAACTACTGAATTTAATTTCTTTTTTTAAGCCGCATAAAAATGGGTCTCTTAATTCTGTCCCTGTTGAGATCTGTGCATCTTGCATAGGAAACCGAAGGGGGGCACTGCTAAGCTCCATGTTAAAGCCTGATCGCTGCAGCAGTACTGGGATGTCAGCACCCAGTGTTCCCATGCCCTCCTCCCTGTCCTGCTCCAGCTAGAGGAGGCCTCTGTGCTCCTGGAGGCTGAACCACCACCAGCTCCAGAAAATGGAGACTCATTTTCCTAAGGAAGCAGCACTGGGGAATGGCAGCGAGGGGGGACACTCTGGTCCTGAAGGAAACCCTAAAGCTGATTAAGAGGAGAGCACACCTTTTGGGAAACAACATCAGGATCTGGCTGCTGCACTACGTTCTGTCAGTGGAGATGGATGCAGCGATCCCTTTGCCAGCTGCAGGCCATGCTGTTTCCATCACTGAGGAGCACAGGGCAGGAGCAGCTCTCTACCACCAGCAGCAGGCTCTTCTGCTCTGGAGAAATGAGCTGCAGAGATGTTTTACCTGATAGATGGTTCCTACATGGCACTGCTTCTGTTCCAGAGCTCCCTTCTGAGGCTGTCCCAGCAGAGCAGCCACAGCCTTGCAATTCCTTGCAGCATCACTGGGATTTTGCGTGGCTGCCCTTCCAGGACCTTGCCCTTCCCTTTATTTGCAGGGCAGTTCCAGGCTCAGATCTCTATTCCAATGCTGTGCCCGTGGGCAGCAGTGAATGATATGGTTGATGCTCTCCAGCGAGCACGGTGCACTGAAGTCTGGGCAGCCAGGAACCAGAGGGTGAGCAGGGAATGCCAGGCAGCCACAAAGGAATGAAGTTTAGGGAGACCTTTGGGGAGCTTGGAGGGAGAGCAAGAGGCAAGGGAGTACAGACACACAAACAGGTCAGCTCTGTGCTCAGCAGGATTTTCTGCTTCTGCAAGGAAACCCTCTGGTGGAGCTCTCAGAGAGGATGCTCAGCACTCTTCTTTCCACCTGTCCTATGCGTTTTGCTCAGCCTTAAACTGAATAAGTTACTTTCTTGGCAGCTTTTACTCTCCACTTGGCAATCAGTGGCTCAGCCAATCCTCGTCCTGGCGAGCGATGCCCTGTGCTCTGCCAGCTCTGCTCAGCTGAGGGGCAGCCTTCTCAGACCCCACTGCCATTTCTCCTACTTGCCCATGCTCTCTTTTAGCCCCCACAGAGGTAACAGGCAGTGCTGTGACGGCTGGAGCCGACAGTGCTGCCTGCAATCACTGCCACCAGTCCACCCTTGCCAATGGAGCCCAGAGCTACACGTGTGTCTCCCCGGCTGCAGGCAGGGAGGGAGAAAGCAATCAGCCACTGGACATATGCCAGCCCAAGAGGAGATATGGGGGTCTCTCAGGTGTCCCTGTGATGCTCAGCCATTGGGTTACAATGGCCTCAGCAAACCAAGTGCCTAACGGCTATGGGAACAACTCTAGTGCCTTGTTCTGCCAACAGGGTTCCCTACGCCTGTGTGTCTCAAAACCAGCGGTCTGTTAGCTTGAGAAACAAGATAAGGCAATACCCAACGTGCAGCAGGTCATGCTGCCCCTGCACAGCTGTTTTACAGCAGGAAAACAGAAGGGGCTGAGAGCAATCCATGGTATCAAAAGGAGAGATTCAGAACATCATCTTCAGCATCTTATGTTGCAGTAATTTGTCTTAATGTACGTCACAAATCACACATCTGTTCCACCAGCAGCCAAGCAGGAATGAGCTTAAAAGGGTTTTGTAACAAAAAAAAGTCAACAAGATTGCTTCTCAGCCCACGGAAACAGCCGTTTGCACAGACCACCCCTGGAAGGCTCTCTGCCCTACCCACCCATACCTACTGCTGTGTTCCCCATCCCCAATCAGTAACCAGAGAGTTCACAATCAGGCCTTTACCTGCACGAGACGGAGGGAGCTCTGAGCCAATGTCTCCAGCCCTGCAGCTCGGGGAAACCCTTCTTCAGCTGGAAACAGGAGCTTCATCTCTCTAGACATTCTTGGCAGAAAGGAAGACAAGCATGGAAACGAGGCCACTTGCCAAAGTTTGGCTGTTTCGGAGTTTGTTTCAAAAGCAAATTCACAAACATTCTGTCCTACTGTCAAGAGCTTAAAGCCTGTAAATAGAGACTATACCACCACCACAAGAATTAAGAAAAAAAAAAAGTAAAGCACTAATTTGTTTGGTTTAAATGTTGCTGTCACTGCTTTAATCACTGTATATTGCCAGCGAGTTCGTAGAGTTGCCTTCTTAGCAGGTATTATTGATTATAGGTTTTTATTTGTGGGGAACAAGTGTGGTTTCCCTTCCTTTCTTTCTGATTTATATTTATATTTTGCTAAATTGGAGTGCTGAGTCTTCGGATTCCCCACTTTTATGTTTGGCTTATTTAGACTTTGTTTTATGCTGGAGGTAAATATGCCTATATAAATAAATATATGAATTTTGCTTTGTATTCAAGGATGGCTCCTGGCTGTGTTCCTCCCTTGCTGTTTTTTGCCTTTCAGTTCACAAATTGCTCATCACAAGAGCGAGGAACCCCAGTGCGAATTACTCAGTGTGAGATTCCAGACGTGCCCACAGCAGGCTCAGGACAGCTGCAGGTGTCCTGCTTTGGAACAGATGTAAAAAGAGCTGTGGCTGCTCACATCTCAGAGGTCAAGGCCAGATCCAGAAGGCATCTGAGAGAACCTGCAGAGGGAAAGCTTCCTCCAGACAATATATCAAGGCTTTAAGTCTGTATGGTACCTGCAGAATTTATAACTCCAAGTCCTAATTGCTTTGAAAGCGAGACTCCAAATGCAAAGCTGCCTTAAAAGTATAGCAATGTGTGCCATAAATAAATGCTTTCAAAGCATTAATTCAGTAATGCTTGAACAAAGGACATAGTCAGCATTCCTCCAAAACCTCATGTCCCACAAACACAGTTTGTGTCACCCGAGACTTCCAGACTCCAGCTGCAGCAGGGCACAAGGCAGCACTGAAACATTCTGGGCACACACAGCAGCAGACATCCATGAGCAACAACAAATCCCCAGTTGGAGTTAAAACTTCTTTCAAATAAAGCTCTAGCTCATTAAAATGCTCTTTGTAACTCTTCTGCAGTGCTGAGCGTGGTCTACCCAGACACCACTCACTGCAACACAGGAACTCTATTGCCAAGATCTAAGTTCAATACCAGGGGTGCTACACACCACCAGCTGTGGTTTCACAGCATGTTACTCTCTGCAGTAGTAGGATGTCTAGCTAAATTCCACTCGTGTTTTCAACTGCTTAGAAGGAAATATGAATTATGCTTATCTCCTTACAAAACAGCTGCTTCTGCTGCTCCAAACAGCCCGGGAAAAGGCTGTGGGTACAATAAAGGGCCCATCCCAAGGCCTATGGGTTTTGTGTAGAAATCAGAGTTGGTTCAGAAAGTCAAGTACAAGCATCTAAGAGACAAACTGCAAATCCAAAGGCAGGTGCATCACAGAGCCATTTTTATTCAGGTTTGGTTTGTTGTGCTGGCAGGAATCAGCTGACAGGAGTACAGTCCATGCCTGAAGCAAGCTCCCACGCTGAAGTATAAAACAAATACAAAAAGAACTTCTCCAGAGCTTCCCACCTGGAACCAAAGGAGAGAGGAAGGAGGTAAGGTAGATTTCCCCAAAGCAGCATCCCCACAGCACAGGGACAGATCCTCTACTAGGTACTGTGGGGTTGGAACCACACCTTGAGCAAAAAAAGAGCACACAGCAAGCGCAATCCTCACTGCTTCACATCAAAATGAACACGTTCTGTTTGCAGTTTACAGAAGGGCAGAGAAGCCCTCTCTATCTAAATCAGCCAGCAGCCTCATCCTGTCACTGGGCACCTCCAAAAACAGTCTGGTCCCAACCACTTGACTCCCACCCATTAGATATTTATAAGGATTGATCAGATCCCCTCTCAGCCTTCTTTTGTCCAGGCTGAACAGCCCCAGGGCTCTCAGCCTTTCCTCATGAAGGAAATGCTCCAGGCCCCCATTATCTCTGCCCTACACTGGACTCTCTCCATCAGTTCCCTGTCTGCCCAGAACCAGGGAACCCTGCACTGGACACAGTACTCCAGATATGGCCTCCACAGGGCAGAGCAGAGAGGAGAATCTCCCCCACCCTGCTAGCCATGCTCTTTGTAACAGACCCCAGGATTCCATTAGCTTTCTTGGTCATGAGGTCACATTGCTGGCTCACAGTTAACCAGTGGTCACCCAGGACATTCAGATCCTTCTCCACTGAGCTCCACTGCAGCACCTCTGCTCCTAACCTGACACACGTGGTTATTTCTCGCACTGTACAAGGCACTGTACCAGTCAGGGTACAGCCCTTTGTGTGCCCCAAATCCACCCCTGAAGAAAGGTGGCTTAGAAACACAACCTGGAGTTATGTTTTGCAGGCACCTCACACACAACATGCAGCACAAAGCTCTCATCCTGCTTACAGCCACTGGGGGTCCACACGTCACTCTGCCTGGGCCTCACACATAGATCCCAACCCACAGCAGCAGGAACAGGACACCAAACCCCATGAAGAGCGATGCCACCAGTGAGATCAGCAGCTCCTTGTAGATGTCTCGCGTGTACTTGGTGGATGTCACCTCATAACTGCCAGCGGAGGGTTAAGGTGACAACAGGGGCATGGCAAGGTGAGCCCCCCCACTCCCAGTGCCCAAGGATACACGAAGAACCATGCAGTGAAGAACATGCCAATGGCAAGCAGCACCACAGTGAGGTGCGGGAAGACAGCCGGGTTAACTGGGCTGGTGTACCTGCTCATTGCCTCTAGCTCCTGTGGGGGCATGGCATGGGGCAGCAGGGCTGTCGGGCCCCATGCTCAGTCCCTGGTCCTAGTTCCCTGGGTTCCCCATCCCAACTATCATCCTTCTCCCAGCCCCTGCTCCAAGTTCCCGTTCCCCAGCTCCTGGTCCTGGCCCTGTTTCCCTCTCCCCAGCCTCCAGCTCCCATTCCCGGCCCCAGCCCTCAGTTCTCATTCCCGGTCCTTGTCCCTGAATCTTGTTCCCCTCCTCTTTCCCAGTTCCAACCCCCAATTCCCATTCCCTATACAGGTCCTAGCCTCCGGTCCCAGGCCCCACACTCCGTTCCCGCTCCAGGTTCTCATTCCCATTCGCAGCTACTGACTCCAGTCTCAGCTCCCGGTTCCCATTCCCGGTCTCAGTTTCAGGTCCCGGCCCCAACCCCAGCTCCCAGTTCCCATTGCTGGTTCCCAGCCCCAAGTTCCCAATTCAATGTCGGCCCCAGCCCCGGGTCCACGCCCCACCATATTGCCCCAGATCCCGGCTCCCGCCGCGCTCGGACACGTCCCCTCGGCAACTTCCGCTTCCTGTCACCGGCGGAAGCGGAAGTGGCGCGCTCCGGACCGGGTGGGCGGAGCCACTGGGAGCCGCTCGGCATTGGCTACCCAGCAGGTAGCGCGGCCTAGCGCGGGAACGGCGCAGGGTCGGAGCAGAGGGGTAATGGCGGTCGGGTGCTGTTGCGGGGACGGCGTGGGATAACGGTGGCCGGAGAGGGCTGAGGGGAGAGGGGGTGGCGAGAGAGGGCTGAGGAGGGCTTGGAGAGGCCGGAGTGGGGCCGAGGGTGGAAATCGGGGCGGGCAACGGGAGCCTGCAGTGCGTGAGGCCTCCGTTCTTGGGACCGGCCCTCCCGTTTCTCTCAGCCCCCGGTGCTTTGCTCTGTGCCCGCAGGATGGGAATCCACGGCTTGGCCAAGCTGATCGCCGATGTGGCGCCCAGCGCCATCCGGGAGAACGACATCAAGTCGTACTTCGGGAGGAAGGTGGCCATCGATGCCTCCATGAGCATCTACCAGTTCCTGATAGCTGTGCGGCAGGGCGCCGAGGTGCTGCAGAACGAGGAGGGCGAGACCACCAGCCACCTCATGGGCATGTTCTACCGCACCATCCGCATGGTGGAGAACGGCATCAAGCCTGTCTACGTGTTCGATGGCAAACCACCACAGCTCAAGTCCGGGGAGTTGGCCAGGAGGACGGAGCGCCGCTCTGAGGCCGAGAAGCACCTGCAGGAGGCTCAGGAGGCCGGCGAGGAGACCAACATTGAGAAGTTCAGCAAGAGGTTGGTGAAAGTGACCCAGCAGCACACCGACGAGTGCAAGAAGCTGCTGATGTTGATGGGCATCCCCTATGTGGAGGCGCCAGGGGAGGCGGAAGCCAGCTGTGCTACACTGGTGAAGGCAGGGAAGGTGTACGCGGCCGCCACGGAGGACATGGATTGCCTGACCTTTGGGAGCCCCGTGCTGATGCGGCACCTCACTGCCAGTGAGACAAAGAAGCTGCCCATCCAAGAGTTCCACCTGAACCGGATCCTGCAGGACCTGGGGCTGACCTGGGAACAGTTTGTGGATCTGTGCATCCTCCTGGGCTGTGACTACTGTGAGAGCATCCGCGGCATCGGGCCGAAGCGGGCAGTTGAGCTCATCAAGCAGCACAAAACCATTGAGGAGATCATCCAGCATATCGACACCAAGAAATACCCCTTGCCTGAGAACTGGTTGCACAAAGAGGCCCAGAAGCTCTTCCTAGAGCCCGATGTCGTCAACCCTGATGACGTTGAGCTGAAGTGGACAGAGCCGAATGAGGAGGAGCTCGTGCAGTTCATGTGTGGGGAGAAGCAGTTCAATGAGGAGCGCATCCGCAATGGGGTCAAGAGGCTGAGTAAGAGCCGCCAGGGCAGCACGCAGGGCCGGCTGGATGACTTCTTCAAGGTGACAGGCTCCATCACATCGGCCAAACGCAAGGAGCCCGAAACCAAGGGGTCAGCGAAGAAGAAAGCCAAGACCAACAGTGCCACAGCCAAGTTCAAAAAGGGGAAATAACTGGACTGGCCAAGCACAAACCTCTGTTGTTAGTTTTCATGCTCAGCTGGGAACTTTAGGCTAATAATAAATAGTCATCTTAATGTTCTGCAGGTTACTGCTGGGAGGGGTGCTGTGTGTGTTGCTGTCAAAGTCCTTCCAACATGGCTAGGCTAGTGAGTGAGATGCCAGTCTGCTTCTGTAGCTGTAATGCATAAGGGCGGGGAAGGGGCTGAGACAACTGCAGGTGAGGAGAGCTGGCAGAAAGTGGTGGGTGAGGAATGCAGATGACTTCAGCAGTTCAGTTCAGTGTTTGTCAGTTGGAGGCTTTTGACAGTGAGGCCACAGAAACTGGATGTCACACCTAGTCAAACACTCCTCTGATTTAAGCAATAAAAAGTTGGACAGCTAGAGAGCAAATCAGGCACAGCTGTTTGAGATTTCTCCCTCACACAGCTCATCCATAAGGAGGCCAGATGCAAACAGCAGGAGCAGAAAATGAGAGATGAATACAGGGCAAGATAGAGTTGGGAGGAGAATGAAATAGTGAGGTAAGATGCTTCCTTTAGTGAGGATCTCAAGCATGGGCTGCCTTCTTTTTTTGTAATTTTTCTTTGTTTTTTTTTAAGTTGTATTCTGGATTCAAAAGATCTGGCTTACTCTTAATGTGTATAAACCAAGGACAAACTGAGCTAAAACTGCAACACTGAAGCCCCAGTTTTCCTATTAGGCTCCATTTTATGTTTAACAAGAAAAATGGCAATAAAACTGAAGTTGATAAAATTCACCCCTTACTTTCTTGAGGCATCCTTTCACATTGTACACACAGGCTCACAAGTTCCAGGCTAAAGAAAAAAAAAGATATCTTTTTAAATTATTATTTTGTTCTGTACTAAGCATAAGTTTTTACTTGTCAGAGTGATCTGCTTTTCTGTTATCATTGTAGTTTTGTTTTAGTTTTTTAAAGAATAAAATGTGTATGCAAATATAACATTTCTCAAGTTCTCTGGAGCAGTAGCTTAAACCTTGTTGGTGGAGGGTGTACAGGTAACAGACTCCTGATTTCAAATGGAAACCCATTAGTGTAAATCAGTGACAACAGCCGACAAATGAAGCACAGGCATGAATGTGGGAAATTCACATTTTAATCCTGGTGTTAATAGTGGCTTTTGGGTGCTTTGTTGATCTGTATCAGCTGGTTGCTAAGTTATAAAAGAAGCTGGGTTTGTTTCACAGGGGAATTCCATTAATGTTATGAAGATAACCCCGGATTTTAAGCCCTCTGATGTTTTTAATAATAACACTGTAGCCAAGAGCAGCAAGTATTTCTGATTTTAAGATCTTTTTAATAGAAAAATGTAAATACTGATGTACCACTGGGGGACGCTGCTCCTGGACAGCTGTGGCTGGTGTGCTTGAAGCTCGATGGCTGTGCTCTCCATGAGCGACATCGCAGATAAAAGCAATGCAGTCTGCTTCTGTCACTTACAATAATTATTATTTTGGAAGAATCTTCACCCAGAAATCCAGGAAATTTCTGCAGAGGAGTTTGGATTTCAAGATATGTGTGTGAGGAGTGATGTTGTCAGTGTTGGTGCCTGACAGTGCACAGCTCGGTAGGGAGGTTAATCTGAAGCTTCAGTTCTCTGTCTGCTTGCTGCTCAGAGCTCATGTTATACCTTTCAACTGGTACAGCCACTGCTTTGTTGCTCACATGCACAAAAGCACAGTGCGTGGGGGTCTGGATGAAGGTTCCCATGCAGATCTCTCTGTCTTTGTCTTTGGGCGCTGCTTCATCTTAAATCATGGGCAGATGCCCAGAAGTGATTATTTTCACCTTGAGAACACACCTGCCCAACCTTGGCGTCCTATTAAGCTTTATTTGATGCTTTTTTTCTCCCAGCTATGGCTTTGCCAAAATGCATTTCCCCCACAGTCCACAACAGCACTGAGCAAACTAATGTTAATGAGCCCTTTCCACCTGGTTAGCCAAGGAGGGGACCAGACCCAGGTTCATGCTTACCAAAACTCTTCAGAGAGTTTCTAACGATCCCCTCTGTGGTATGAAACTTCTGAGCCACCATTTACTTTGGGGACTTTGCTGTTGAGGGTCGAAGCCATAAATAAGCACTGCAAATGTATTGATGAAGAGAAAAAGCTTGTTAGCTGGAACACACATCTTCCATGCAGTAGATGTCCCCACTAGCTCATGCTACCCTCCTGGTAGCCGCTTCGTACGCAAGCTATGCCATTTCTTTCTGCACGGTTTTCTCCTAGCAGCAGGCTTGATGTGCTGACATACAGTGATCTGGCTGAAGGCAACAGCACGGTGGTGAGTCAGTTCATCCTCCTAGGACTGACAGGTGAGCCTGAGCTGCAGACTCCTCTCTTCATAGTGTTCTCAGTGATTTATTTCATCACTATGCTGGGTAATGTTGGGCTGATCACGCTGATCATGACGAGCCCCCAGCTGCACACTCCCATGTACTTCTTTCTCTGCAATCTATCTGTTGTTGATCTTTGCTACTCCTCTGTCTTTTCTCCAAGGCTGCTTATTGGTTTCTTGCTGGATAATAAAACCATTTCCTACTCTGCCTGCTTCACCCAGCATTTCTTTTTCCTTGTGTCTGTGACCACAGAGGTGTTCTTGCTGGCCGTGATGGCATACGACCGCTATGTAGCTATTTGCAACCCCTTGCTCTACATTATTTCCATGCCCAAGAGTTTCTGCATGAAGCTGGTGGCTGGCTCGTACCTGGGGGGCATTCTGAACTCACTAATCCAGACATGCTGCTTGCTGTCCTTGCCTTTCTGTGGCCCCAATATCATCAACCATTACTTCTGTGACACCAATCCCCTGCTGAAGCTCACCTGTTCTGACGGCCACCTCAATGAGCTTCTGCTCGTCACCTTCAATGGGACCATTTCCATGACTGTGCTCCTGATCATCATCATCTCGTATGTATACATCCTCATCTCCATCCTGAGCATCAGGTCTGCCAGGGGACGACACAAAGCCTTCTCCACTTGTGCCTCCCACCTGCTGACTGTCACCTTGTTCTACGTACCTGCTGGCCTCAGCCACATGCAGCCAGGCTCCAAGTACTCACTGGACATAGAGAAGATCACGGCAGTGTTTTACACCTTGCTTGTTCCTATGCTCAACCCTCTGATCTACAGCTTGAGAAATAAGGATGTCAAGGACAGACTCAGGAGAGCAAGAGAGAAAATATTCTCTCAAGCTGCTCACTGTGTATTCTGACTCTTTTACTCAGCAGTGCATCCCCTTTCCTTGGTTGCATTTCTCTTAGGAAAACCCTGGTTTACAGAGATGCTTATTGTAAGGCATACAATTAATTCACTTTTGCATTTATGCACGGAATCGTGGCTGTACATGTTCTACCAGAATTTACGTAGTTCACGGAAGACAAAGGATGTGTCTTGATTAAACATCAGAAAAGCTTTTTGCCAACTGTTTTCCTCAGGGCATCTTTCTCCCCAGGCAACAAGCTGTTACCTCAGCTTGAGATTGAGGTCCAAATCCATCAACAGTGTTAAGAATGTTAATTCTTGTCCGGTACTTTAAGTCGATACAAGATAAATGTTCTGAGAAGAAAACCTCAAGGTCCATCTCATATGCAGTAATAGATGAACACATAGAAACATCAGCAGAACACCCAGAAGTGAATGCTCAGTGGAAGGTATGCTTCCACCCAGCACAGTTCCCCAGTTTTCAGGGATGATTTCCAATAACATTCCACGTTGTTCTGAAAGGAAATGGTACAAGTAAAGGTGAGAAACACCGTATCAGAATAAGATCAAATAAATTGCAGCCATTTACATAAAGTCTGTGATTTTCACAGTGGCTACTGCGAAAACAAAGTAACTCCTTATATTGTTGGTCAGATCAATACAAATGTTTTTAATGTTTATAGCTGAAATTGCAGAAAGGGCCCTGAAAGCAGGTTGTGGTGAGGTGCAGGTTGGCTTCCTCTCCCAAATAACTAGCAATAGGATGAGAGGGAATGGCCTCAATTTGCTCCAGGGGAGGTTCAGGTTGGATATAAGGAAAAAATTCTTCTCCAAAAAAGTGGTCAGGTGCTGGAATGGGCTGCCCAGAGAGATGGTGGAGTCAATGCCCTTGGAGGTGTTCAAGAAACATGTAGATGTGGTACTAAGGAATATGAGTTAGTGGGCAACACTGGTGGTAGGTGGATGGTTGGACTGTATGATCCTGGTGGTCTTTTCCAGTCTTGCTGGGTCTATGATTCTGCGATTCTCTCGTGCCTTGTGACTTTGCAGCAGCCAAGTGTTTGAGCGCCCTGTGCTCAAATGGCAGCCAGCTTTTGGAAGATCAACTGGTGAATTCTTCTCCAAAGGAAAGCAAAGAAATGCAGTCATTGATAAGGTATGAAACCAGGCAGCTCTTCAGCCAAAGTTCTACCTGGATGAGACCTGGAGCTGCTTCACCTCTCTTTGTTGAGATGGTGCAGCCCATGGATCAGGAGATTCTGTGGGTCCACAGTTTGCTCAAAAGCACCAAGGAAATAGATTTAACTGTTGGATAATTTGTATGCCTTCACATAAGCTAAGAAAAGGGGAAAATAAAAGTAACGAGTACAAGTTTGGCATATAATAAGGCACACGTGCTACGCTACAGTAGGCAATGTTCATTCAGACTTGACACGGACCATAGATCAGGGTCATATCAAGATGATGGCTTAAACGTTCTTTCTGCTGAATACATCTAACTTTCAGCATGCTGTATGTTTAAATGTGTCTTTTCTGATGAGGACAGTGTCAAAGCCTTGGTGGGAACTCTGTATCCTGGGAATTTGGGCAGCAAATCTCACAGGAAAGCCACATCTAGGTGAAAGGACCAGAAAATGTGACTTCTCTCAGTGTAACTTGTCCTCATGTAAAATGGAGCATTAATAAAACCAAGATTTTATCCTGCTGGGCTTTTCTTTGGAATCGATGCCAGAGCTGTAGATAAAAGGTAAATTCAGACACTCTCAACTCACCAGAGATAAATCAGCAGCTCCTAAAATGATGGTCTGCAATGCATGGAATGAAAAAAAAAAAACAACAACAGAACAAGCATCGATTTTTTCCTGGATAACATTAATCATTACTTGACAGGGTTATACCAGAAAGCAGAGAAAGTGCAAATCTTATCTAATATCTGACAAATGGATGCACACTTAAAAGCCATTGTGATCTTCTAACACTTTGCTCTGGGGAAAACTTCAGGTCCGCAGCCAGACACCTCATTTCAGATGCCCTGCAGGTGATGTGCATGGCTTTCCGTTATTATTAATGGGGATTTAGAGCTGCTTTTCAGTCTGTCAGAGAGAAAGCAGTGGGGTGCAGCACAATGAACTTCTGTGCGTCCTCCTGTCAGCAGCTGCTTCATGTCAGGGACCTTGAGTATTGAGCTAAATCCCAGGGGCATGGACTCCATCTCAGAATGGGCAGATGAAACTCCCCACCAGGAATTACATCTCTTGAAGCCATTGTCCAGAGCAGAGAAAATTGAACTGCAAGCCATACCCTGCAGTCTCAGGTCATGCCCTCTTCATGCTCACAGCTCCATGTTCTGCTAAAGCAGCTGCCAGCAAACTCACCAATATTCATCCGTTTCCTCCTAGGGAAAGGACCTGCATTTGTGGCAGCTGCTTTCCTGCTCATGATCAATAAGACCTTGCATCTCTTGGGCAAACCATTGCAAGACCTTTCAGTGAGCCACCCTGACCCACCAAGCAGCTCTTCGTTAGAGTTTTCTGACATTACAACCCCAAAGTTACAGCTGTGAGATCATGGCTGCAGAGCAGCACCTTGCAGAGCAGCTTATTAAAGGCTTCAACAGAGATTAATCTGCTCTCCTTATGGAATATTATCCACAAAACCTACTCAGCTCTCCATCTGCTCCAGAGAATAAAAAGTTGATAATAACCCCATCTAACCCAAATTTAATTGTAAAAGGGGAATTTCTTCCCAGGGAAGGTCAACAGGATGAACTCAAAGTCCTAACCAAGGAACCACGCAGCCTAACCTATTTAATTCAGCACCCGAGAGCATTCAAGGACACCTGGGATAATTTAAGTAGAAATGTATATAAATTACATAAACCACAGCAATACTTTTGAATTATTCACCTGCATGAGATAGTAGCTCTGATCTCTCTATGTATTTTCATTTCCTTTATTGTAAAATCTGGAATATTTATGTCAGGATAAAGATGTGCATTTTCAGATAACATTTTCAGATAACAGAAAAAAGAGCATCTCTTTCCAGTGGTGCCTGGTAGACAGTGATGATGTACAGGAAATACTGATTGTGTTTGAGACAGTGCACACTGAGTTAGAAATTCCTCATCCAGTCTATGTCTCAGACTTCTCTCTCTCAGACAGCTTGGCTAAATGCTGGAGGAATGCAGAAAAGTTTCCTAGGGGTGGGGAAGAAATAACTGTGGCCACCATTTCCCTGGTGGGAGTTCACAGCATGCAACAGTTTCCAGCTAGAATGGTGAAAGATGGGAGCTGTAATTTCTTCCAGGACTTACTTCTTGTGTAAGAAATAAAGACTTTGCTGTTGTTATTATTGTCCTCCATTTTTTTTTTTTTTTAATTTTTTTTTTAAACTCCTTTTCCCAAATGCCTCTTGCCCAGCTGAATAATCTGTGGATGCAGCCTCAACTGAAAATATTTTTTAGTCTCCTTGTATTTAACAAGCCACTGTGGACATAATTTAGAAAGCCAATTAGGGCTTTGTTTCGTGCCTTTGAATGGCAGAAATTGAAAATGGAAAGGAAGGATAGGGAAGGGGAGGGAAAGGGAGGGAAGGGAAAGGG